CGTTCACTAGTGGACTCCTCTGAAATCACCTCCTCCCAGCTGCGAGCTGAACTGAGGGCTGGACTTGGAGCCCTCATGGAGCCATTCGGAGGCTACCAGACCGTTCCCTGAGAACACGACCCTAGCAGCTCTGTGACCTGTTCCAGGCCAGCCCACATCCGCGTCATTCAGTGTGACTTTCCTCCAACACACCTGGACTGCCATTCAGAAGGAGGCCCATTACTAGCTTGATAACCCCCAAACTTTGACATCTGTAGTGGCACGGGTCTGTCTAGCTGGCACTGCTGTCTCGTGCACACACATATACTGATTCTGTAGCACTGATAAATGCCCATCACTAATTGGTTAAGGTTGGAAGAGACCTCTAGAGATCATCTAGTCCAGAGAAGGAGACTCCACAACCTCCTKGGGCAGCCTGTRCCAGGGCTCTGTCGCCTTCACAGGAAAGAAGTTCCTCCTCACATGGAGATGGAACTGCCTGTGTTGCAGCTTGCACCCTTTACCCCTTCTCCTGTCACTGGCCACCACTGACAAGGGCAGAATTTTTAGAAAACTGTGGCCAGCACACATCCAAGTATTATTGGTCTCAGATTATTATTAATAACATTAATTAATTTAAAGATTGRCTAGAATTTGGCTTTAATTCATATAGTCACAGGCAAATTTTTACATATGTTAATTAAAATAAGCTGTGAGAACTGTAAGACATCTGRCAGCTTTTGTCTAACAGAAAATGGGTTGCAAAACAGCAAGTCCAACATGCTCCATCCACCAAACTCCATCACATACATGGTGAAGAATAGGCACTTTGTAACAGATAGAGTAAAATTTTAAGGAATTAAACTCTACCAACAGCAACACGCTGGTCAAGACATTAACATCATTCTAATTGTCACCAAGAACACAAACTCCATGCCAACAAATCTTACCTCTTCTAGTGTTTGTATTTAATGACTTTTTAGGTCGTAATCCTCACATCTTTACTCATTATTTGCTTGTGATATTTAGCTACCAGGAGCAAAGGAAATTCAAAAAAAGAAAACACTTTGAAATAGATATGAACAATGAAGAGATGTTACTACACCTGTACTGCACAGTGCATGGGATTTCCAGCTTCTGAACAACATGAACATGTAAGGAAAAGGTTTGTGAACTTGGGGAGAGCGCTAACTGCAGTAATATATAGAAGCCAATTTTAATTGTTTTCTGAAAGTTGGCTGGGATTTTTAATGAGTTACAAGTGCCACAACATGTGCCAAATACTAGTAGGTTGTACATCCTGTAGCACAGTGCAAGATCACCACCGTGGAGCTCTCTTCTTGTAGTGGTGGAGTCCCCATCCCTGGCAGTGTTCAAGAAATGCGGCGCTCCTGGACACTGTTCAGTAGCTGTGGTGATAGGTTTGCAGTTGGACCTGATCATCTTAAAAGTCTTTTACAACTATAGTGATATAGTGATTCTGTGATTCTAAAGCTTTGCAAAGCTTTTTTTTTTTTTTTTTTTTTTTGCAAAGCATTTGCAAATGCTGTAAGTTTGTGGTATTCCTGAAAATTATCCGATCATTTGTTCTTCTGAGCCTTTCAAACTTTTGTACCTTCACAGACAGGAAAATATGGTTATAATAAAATAATGAAATGAAATGAAATGAAATGAAATGAAATGAAATGAAATGCAAGTGTGTGCAATAGTCCAGTGTTCAACAAAAAGCGTCCTTGTATGGAGTTAACTAAAAATGAGATGTCTACACTCTTAAGTCTGAGGAATGAAGTATGTTTATTTTCCCAAGTAAAAACAACAGAAGAATTTCTTAAAGATTTTGACATAATATTAAGCTGTGGTCTCAGAACTGCAGATCTATAACTTAGTTGAAAAAACATAACTCCAATCAGACTCCCGTAAACAGCATGTATGCTTATGCATACGGTATTGTCTAATCTATCTTTTAAAGTCTGGSTGAAGAGTTGCCAACTTCACATTTACAAGTAATAAATCATTATAACCAAGGGAAAACTAGAAAAAAAAAACACAGAGGAAATGTACATGTGAATATGTACCAAAACAATCTTACTAATTATGATATCACAGTAACAGAAAAATTGAAAGGAAAGAAGGAAAGTTAGATTTATAAACTTATATTACAGTTCTTGCAAATAAGGTRTAGGTGTACCCTATATAAACAGCAGGGTAATATTTGCACAGACAGCTCATCAGAAAGACACAAAAGAGAATTTGGCAAAAAGAACAAAAGGTAATTGCATAATGTTTGCTTACTATATCTTGGACGAGCAGGATGAAAATGTGTGTATTTCACAAATGTCCCTGCAGTTTAAGTTTTATTAGGTAGCAGAAGTTGGACTAGTWACATTCTGGAAAATGAAGGAAACATTCTCTTTTACCCTTTCAAGGAAAGGATCCTCTAGCGTCTGATGTTGCCCAGAGAAATGTTTCCATTGCATCAACTGTGACATGGACAGTGGTTTCTTTGAATTAGGCTTCCCATGAYTTTGTCCAAGCTGGCAACTTCTCAACACAGAAGGCTTTTCTGAGGAGGGATCTGAAAAATGATACAGCAGAATAATCAGAGAAAACCGAGACAGAAAATTCTTGGTCTGAATCAATAAGCCAGGGGGTGATAACAAATGAGGGTAAAATAGAGCAGAAAGTGTAATCCTTCTATGTCAACGAAAACCAAACATACGAATCCACACTCAGAGCAAAAAGGCCGTTCCTTGCTCATTGATGGAGTTTATCAAAACCACCATATGCTAGCACAAAGACAAATCCTTTTATAAATAGATGGAAAAGGAAATGCCTTATCTGGCAATTTCCCCYGTGCTCTCCTCCTAAATCTGCGCCCCGTCGGCTGCCCACATTCCTTAAGCACCTCTGAGCAGGGAAGGCTGCTGCAGCAAATCTCAGGCTGGCTTCTGTTTCCTCCCAGAGGAGTCATTCCAACGGGCTAAGAATAGCTTGGATAGCTGACTGTCTCATTGGCTCAGGACACCAGAGGTTGATCTCTAGTGCACTTTGTACATCCTGGTTATACCGAGTTATTTAACAGTATGTTGAATATACTGTTTGTCACAGGAAGGACAGTACTATTTCCCGTGAAGCACAGAGGCACAAACCCACTTTGCACAGGATTCCAGAGCCCCAAGCAATACCAGGTCATGACAGAGTATCTTATGTTTTGCTACCTTCATGATTCATCTCACATGTGTTTAAAAAAAMCCAAAAAGCTGGGATGCACGATTTGCATCATTGTTGTTACTAGTTTAAAACATGCAGCCAAATATTTTCACAGCAGCACTCCCTAGGAAAGATCAGTGCTATGAGCTGCATGATGCCTCACAGCTTTCTTGGCATTTTGAAATTTTCACCTGGAAAGCCCATAAAGCCTTACACACCTAAGACTTCCCTCTTGACTGACATACGATGCACATTTGTGCTACACTTGAAACGTCTCTTTTCCTTGTGCAGAAGAAAATTTAGGAGATGTGCACTTCTCAAGTCTTCAGGGATTCTACATTTTTAACTCCATAARCCAAACCATGGTGAGATAAAATAACGGGCTTTCAGCTTTGTAGCTCATCTGAAAGCCACAAGAGCAAGCTACTCACCTGCCCCATCCAGGCAGCTSCTTCCTTTGGAGAGTTCTGCAGTTTGCTAACGGTGGTCTCAGTATGAACGGACAGCAGGGTCTCTCAAGAATACCCAGTGTCATTGGTGGGTCTAACAGAGACCCCAGAGTTAAGATAATTAGTTTTTAAACTCATTTTAAGCTCAGGTATTGTGCAGCCTGCATGATGTTGTATTGTTCCTCTGCAGTTTTTCCTTTGAATTGTGTTTGCTGGAAGGCTGCATCCTGAGGGGATCCCACCGAGGACAACCGTGCACAACAACGTGACGAGGGGGCTGCTGAGTCACTTACGTGCTCCGTGGCAAGCCAGGAGCTCCCCTGCTCTTTTCCACTAATTACATTTAAGAAAAACTGACTGCTTTTCTCTTGATTTACCCCCACAAAGGGCTACTAGGCCTCTGCACTAGGACCAAGACGTGATTCCATTCTGATTATTCATTGCTCGGAAGTTCAAGGGGCTGGAGCCTCTTGAGGCTTTTCAAAGCATAAGAAAAGCAGCCAAGAACAATAAAACAACTGAAAAATGCTAATGAAATTATACGCACCTGTGTTCATCACAGAAGCAATGTTCTAAAATTGTTAACCTTTAAGAGAAAAGGATGCCTTTTCCACACAGATTTTGTAATAGTGCCTAACTGAAAGTAGTCACTATGTAAAAACAGGAGATGCACTATTAAAGAAGTATATAAAGACATTTAATGGAGGATAATTTGGAGAAAAAAAATCAAGCAACATAGTCACACTGCATCTATTTTACTTAATTCCTTACTTGTTTGTGGAGAAAATGAACACTCTGTTGGCTATTTTTAGCTCTTTTTACAGTGATATCTTACTATATTCTTTTATCATGATTTTGCTGTATCATTTAGAAGAGATCCATATTTGTACTTCATTATCACATCTGTTAGTATTGCATGTGGGTATTTCATGCTCAAAGGAAAGAAATGTATCAGGAAAATAGACACTCTTTCCTTGGAGAAAATGCGTGAGCTATAAAAACTAGAATGGATTGTAATGGGTTGTAAGCATAACTTAAAGAATATATTTTTATATATATATATATACTTATAATTCAATTTCTTACTAAAACTACTTACACGTTACACAGTATTGACACAATTCTGACATGCAGAAAGATCAAGAGAGCCATGTTCCCACAAGAAGGATAGATGCAAGATCTACCACTTGTATTTACGACTGCCAGGGCATCTTCCAAATTTTCTCAAATGATTATTTTTATCATCCTGCATCAATATTAGCTAATAATTGTGAAATGAAAGGCTATATTCAGAGACTTGGCACATTATTATCCAGATCTCCATCTGGTACTTGCAGGTGTAGTTGTCTATAGGTAAACAGCTTTTAAACTCACTTGTTGCATTTTTTTTATATCAGATAATCATTATTGTCCTTGAATAATTAGAAACAAAATACTACTAGTCCTGCTGGCCATAGCTAATTCAAGGAATTAAGAGGTGAGATATATGTGCTGTTTGGAACTGCAAGGAGTGAATCTCTTCTTCATCTTGTGAGGGAGTCTCCTATGGATTAGAAAAATTGGACAATATCTGGAAGATCCCATAAAGAATTTCATTACTTTAATCCTATTTTCCTGGGAGTCAGAGTTTTCTCCAGTGACAGGCCATATACAGAACATAGATACCCTTCCTCAGCAACAGCAAGAGATAATGAAATAGAGACTCACTTTGATGGTCTTTCTTTCCCATACAATTGCACTCAAGCAAGTCATGGGTAACACAGCTGGAATCTTCATGAAGTGTAAAGAGATTCCTAAGCTCCTCAATGGAAAAGTGGATGTGTTCAGWTGTCTTGGAAAGGTCTACAACAGCCCCAGAAAGGTCTTGCTTGCTGATCTGCCTTTGATAAATCTTCTCTTCTATTGAGCCTGTATTGAAGAACAGTAGATACACAGGGTTCATTTTTGGCTAATGCCTCTCAAAAAGATAAGTGAACTCTTTTATTTTTTTTGGTAATGAGGTTTATCAGAAATGCCAAAATATTATTTTTAATTTTGAAACAAGAGCAAAGACAAATGAATCAATGAGATGTTTCTATTTTAAATCAATTCCAAATGAATACATATATATGTGYGTGTGTGTGTACACACATATATATATATACAAAATGAAAGATTTCCAAAAACATTTCCTCTTCTTTATTGACAAAATGGCAGTACRTGTTCTCGCTATAGAATATGTCTGAACATCAACTCCAACCTGTGGTGAGCAGTCTGTAGATGCACACAGTGTGTTTCTGACCATCTCTCCACACTCTGGCCATTGCCTACAGAAAGAAAAACATTTTTGACAGGCAGCTCTACAGTCGTATGTTCAACATCAAATTACCAGCTCTGCTAGCTCATTCCTAAGGATGTTGCCAACAAAGCCCTCCTGAASAATCATCTTTGATTGTTTGTATARAAGTGTCCCAGTATTAACAGCAAATGATTACTAAAGTGTAATTTACTTTCTAACATGTATGCTCCTTTCTTTGTGTGTAAAACTAGAGGTTTCATTTCCTTGTTGCCAGCAATCCCCTCTTTATATTTGCTAGGAGTTAATAACAGTTTAGTATCTCACAGAAATATTCATCATTCTCCAAAACATTTTTGCCACAATGTATCTTTAAAAATGATGTTTCCATTTCTAATAAAATTGTAAAATTAATGTTTTGCACACTCTTTAAACCTTAACCAAACAAAAAACTAAGTGAGAGAGCAGAGTGACAGGATTTTTGTCAAATACATATGTGGTACAGGTACCCCCAGCATGGCATGCAGTGTTTGGCAAACTCTAGCAATTTTGACTGCTTTACCCATCTCTGCTTCAAGCAAGGGACAAGTGCCCACATGAGGGTACTGATTCACACTTGAAACAGGAGTAAAGCCAAGAATCAGAGCTTACCTCAGGTATTAAGCACTCAGCATTAGCATAGAATCAGAGTTTCTTACTGTGCTTATATGAAGATTTTTTTTAAACTGCTTTTGTTAGGAAGTATTTTAACCAAGCATTCTTACGCCAGCTAAATAATCCCTCCAGATGCAAAGCCCCATTACAGGAATAGTTTGTCACTTGGCTTTGGTTTTTCATCCTTTTAGCATTGCTGCCACATGATTTCTCATTCTCTTAATTCTCATCTGGGCCTCTCTCTTTTTCTCAGATATGATAAAGTGTTTTTTTTTTCCCCTCAGCAACACTAACTGCACAATCTAATCATAATTTACTTTTCTTTTTGGAAAACAATTGCTTTCCCGTTAACAGGTAATCAAGAGACACAGGACTAACTTCTTGAAGGAAACTAGAAATTCCCCAATTTTTATTTTTTACTGCAAGGGGGTTTCTAATGATATCAATATATATAATTTGAGAAATGTTTCTCTTTTTTTTTCCTCAGCTAGAGCTTTCCTTCAGTATTTTGTGTGTCCTGATGCAATGTAATGATAATCAAGTAGYAATAAGACATGTAAAGCCAGACATTTCAGCATCCATCAAAAATTCGTGTGATGCTCATCCCAACCCAGGGGTACCCAGATGGGCCAGACCTGAATATCTGTAGCTGGATTCCAGTCAATATCATACAGGATCAAATGAGACGCTCCAACTAGGTTCAGTCCTACCCCACCAGCCTTTGAACTCAGCAGAAAGACAAATGCTGGGCTGAATTTACTATTAAAACTATCAACAATCTGTTGCCTCTGGGAGACAGGAGTGTGTCCATCAAGTCTGGTATAAGAGTATCCATAATGTTTGCAGGTCTCTTGTAATATATTCAGTGTCTGAGTGTAATTGGAGACCAGCACAACTCTGTCAAAAAGGGAAAAAAMCATTATCCTGCTGTCTTAGACCTTGGTAAAATTAAAGTACTATAACAACTTGTTGAAGACATCTAAGGAAATAAAAATCACAAGTAATAATTATACATCAACCTGAGATTACTCATAAAACATAAAATATAAACCATTCATATTAATTCAAAGTCCACACAAAGCATTCACATGGTAAGTACTTCTTCCAACAGAATGTGAGTTATGCAGAGATTGCAACAGGTCCAGAACCAAACAAAAAGATAGATTTTATTTTTAATTGCCACTTACACAAAATAGCCATTACTAAGAAAAAGAACAAGTATTTGTAGAGGGTGTCATGCAGGCTAATACACAGCATGGGGGGGCTCTGCATTTGTCCTTACACTTTTAAAGGAGACTGGAATTGAGCCTGTACGTAAAGATTTTTGGAGTAGGTGGACTTCAGGCCAAGGGCACACAAAGGTCTTACCATGGGACCCATAAGGATTCTGTGATTCTAGACAAGAGTGTGTGAGATTCCCATAAAGGAGCCATTCCCAGTATGTGGCCTGGTGCATTCTAGAGCCCAGCATGAACCCACAGGGGTTTTGCTGCAYGTCAGTGCCATTCGCTATAGGGGACATAGGCAGCTGCAGTGCCACGTCACCTGTTGGGACTTCCCACTGTGAACACCCCCTACACAGAAAAGGCAGCAAGCCCTGAACATCAAACMCAGTAAATGAGGACAGAACCCATCATCTAGCAATTAAAAATACGCTGGGTGATTTAAAATATTTAATACATTAGGTAGCTGCTTCAAGGAGATGCGAAGCATGCGAAAGCCTGTGCAAGGACAGGTAGTACATCACAGCACACGAGCTGCAGCAAACACTTGTGGTTGGAACACAGCATGAGAAGTTCTTTTGGGGGGAAATAATATAAGGAGCAACTCTGAAAATTATGCCAGCTCCAAATCCTAGTTTAATAATTTAACAAGGAATAGCCAGGAGCATAAGACATAAATATACTTAGTACATCTGCAAAGCCTTTATTTTGAATGTTAGGTCACTATATGTTGGAAAAGCAAAAGAGAATCACCAGAAGATCACCTCTGTATCTCCCTTTTAGTTGCCTTTCACACTTGCCTTTCCGAAGAGCCGAGTTCCTGGATTGCTGCTAAGAGCTTCACCAGCACCTGCAGTTTTCCTGAGTAAGTTTCAGAGAAAGTGTCAGGAGTAAAATCTTGTGGGAAGGTGTCTGTTAAACCTTCATAGAGGCTGGATTCATCATGTTCCTCACACGAAGAATCACATTGTTTCTCCTGTGAAAAATAAAAGTATTCATGCTCCCTGTCCTCTCTAAAATAATCTTGGTTAAACTTTGCTAATGAAATATCAAAAGCCACTATAAATCAATGTATAATATGAGCACAGTAACTCAGTAACTCCTAATACTGCATGGCAAGCACAGTTTAAAATACTGGTAACATTTACAAATTGGTTTATACTTTATAATTTAAAACATTATATACAACTAAGTAGAGTGCAAATTGAAACACTGAGAACTGAAAGATGTGTTTCACTACTGCTTCTTTTTCCAAAGAGATATTCACACAGTGAATCACAGATCAAATAGATATTCACACAACAAAGTCATATGCAAGACACTGCAGCTCCCACTGTCACTGAACCCAAGGAGGGCAGTGGACAAGAAGAAAGGGTGAAAATCATCAGCTGCACAAGGTGTTTTCAGAGGAAGCAGCAGAGTATTATCTAACTTAACACTACAGTCAGAATTTCAGATTAAAAGATTTACTCAGATGTTTTAGCATTCAAAGTGATATTCCTTTAGAAAAAAAAACATATTTTTTAATAAATGTTGCTTGCAAAATTCACATTTGTATGTATTTGTATAAGCATTCACTCACAAGAGTAATAGGATAATTGACAGGTAATAAAGCACAMGCAAATATTGAAAGGCAACAGGAAACAGGTTAGATACAATCCTTGTGTGCATTCYTTACAGTCCCTGGGTGCATTTCCTAACATACCATTTTGGAAAGCCTGTCTCCTGAAAAGCAAGTCATATGTGAGGACAGAGCATGAAATGATCTCAGGGAACACACACATTGACCACAACATATTTCTAATGACCTTTGCTTGCTGAAATGACTAACTGGAGGCATCTCCCCATAACACACAGATAAATACCTTTATGGCTTTGAGGAGAAGACAAGGATGATTGCAAATTTTTTTCAGAGCTCCTATACATAATAGATGAAGACTATTTTCTAGCCTGCCTTGTAGACAGGACCTAATAACTCGAGAATTAAGGAGTTTTCGATACAGTTCAAGCTGCAGCGCTGTTGGTCGGCAGAAGAGGATGCTCTCCTTTTTCGGGGGYAGAAACTTGTTGATAACCTCCTGCGTTCTCCTAAGGATAAACAGGCCAGTTAGGCGTGTGAGTTCTGCTGCTCTTGTTTCTCCCAATTCCTTTTCTTCCTACAAGGTCAAAGCACAAAATTAGCACTAATCTTGCATTCCACCAAGACGCCACAATAATTCTCTATGTGATTACAACAATTTTCTATGTGATTTTAATTAGAAATGAACAGTCTCAATGTATGATAACACTTCCTGATGCAGGATGATAATGTTTGATGCTTTTCCAATTAGTATGACTGCATTAGCTAGTTTTAGGTCTGGCTTCTAAAGTCAGAAACAAAGGCAGATAATGTCTCAGAAGACACACAAGCATACAAGCCTCAATTTATATTCCCAGGCTTCTTGACTGAAGCAACAAAATCATGCAGATTTTGCCGCACTATAAAGAAACCATGAATGAATAGCATATAATTATATGGCAATTTGCATGGTATTTGTGGGAATGCACAGTGTTGGAAGAATACAATTTGCCTGATTTATGAATAGGCAGCTAAGGTGTTACGAAGATGCATATATTCCTCCATCTTCCTGGGGAAAACAACAGTAGTTTATTTCAAATAGGAGGCTGAAATCTTTCCTTACCATTAATAGTCCTATACTATATCAAAATACCATTTTTGCAACTATTTTGGTACCCCTAACATGTTTAAAGATAAATTGAGAACACTGAATGAGGACCTTACACACAAATAAATATAGAGAATGAACAGTAGCATCAAAAAAAAAAAAAAAGTTGATTTGAATAACCTAGTCAGAATTTGAGTATTTAAACCTCATTTTTATGTTGTAGGATTTCACAGTTTCACAATGTTCACTATGAATTTTCCCTTATAATTGCATTTTTTTAGTAATATACCTTTGTGGCTGATGGTTCTCTGGACCTGACAATAGGCTCCTCATATATCTTTCTATATGTGGATATAGAACCCAGTATTCCTGGATTTACAAACTCTATTAATGCATAAAATTCCTGCAAGTCATTTTGTATTGGAGTACCTTGAAAGAGAAAAAATAAATGTGCATTTGTTAGATTTTTTCTTGAAACTGATAGAAGCACAATCATTGATTTCAGCGTTTTATGTTGAGCCTACATCCTGAAGACAGATGTCTTATTTCAATGTGAATAACTCAGAGTACCAATTAATCTGCAACTTTACCATGATTAATCAGCTACTGTCGCTGTAACTATACAGACTGCACATTTAGTTACTGTGACAAATAAATTTAAGAATTTTTTTCTAAATCAATGTGATTAAATAAATACAATGCCTGTGTGTAAACACAGTCCTCGTTCCCTCACAGTTCCCAGGCAGCCTGCCAGTCCTTCGAGCTAGATACATTTGGCATTTCTTGCAAAATGTATTTGGGAAGAATCTGTTTTCACACGACATACTGATTTTAATAGCAATTCTCGAAATTTATATTGTGCTCCTGCTGTACTTGCAATGACTTTATCCTTTACCCCATCTTGCACTTTTAGTATAACTAAATATCAGATTCAATTAAATATTACTAACCAGTAAGGATAATTCGCCTCTCACAAGACAGGCTAGTGAGGGCTGTAGTGGTCTTAATAGAGCTGTTTTTCAGACGATGTCCTTCATCACAGATTAGGAGGTTAAATTCCGTAGCCTGAATTTGATCCAACGAGCGCAGTAGCATCTCATAACTGATTATCATAACTGAATAAAGTGGAGAACTGATGAATTCTTCTACTTTGTGATCCTGCAAGTTTAAAAGAAAATATATGATACAGGTATTTATTTGAAGACAACTCATGGTTTTACTCAGTCACACATTGCCTACAGGTATTTTCCTAACATGACACAGAACATTTACTGCCTGGATTATTGATTCTATTCTAATTCTATTCTATTGCAAAAGAAATATGGGGTCTGATACAGCAATGTAGAATTTTACCACCATATTACCTGACAGCTTATTATTCTTTCAAGCCTTCAAATCCTCCAAGACACACTGCCGTGAAGGTGAAAAGCACAGACTGCCTGAAACTGCTTTCCACTCCTGGCGTTTAGGTGAGCTTCAGATGGGTAATTAAAACAGACCTAAATAACTGCCTGCACATTCACTGTGGGATCTCAGGCTGCAGTCAGTGTGTTGCTGTGTATTCCACCAACATAAATTCCAATTGTAGTTTTAAATAGAATATGATACCCACTTTGCAGCACATTGATAGGTTGGCTGACAGGTAAGATCAAGCTGGTACCTAGAGCATTAAACCAGTAATTATCCCCAGAAAACATGTCTGTCCATCTATAAATGGAATTTAGTCCTTAAAGCTGTATTAAGGGTCAGCAAGCAGTCATGAGCCCCTCTCCCTTTATATACCTTTTGTTTAAAGGGTGTATATATATGTGTTTCCTACAACAGACCTCAATACTTTTGAACTCCTATGTACATTTAATTCTGGTTAGTATACTTATTACAAAACATGACAATGAAGAAAACCAGCAGGAGCTGTCTGTATGATAGCACCAGGGGCTAGATAGAATAGATGATGAACAGCTCTATACCTCAGAGATTTAACTAACTTTGAAAAGAAAAACAAAAAATACTGTAATATGACAAGGAACTTTTTTTTTTTCACACAACRCTTCCTAAAAATAACTACATTTCTGAACAGACCTGTGTATGTGTTATTTTGCTTCCTAATAGTGTAATCTATAATGGAATAAAGAATTGAAAAAAAATGTAAAAATGGAAAACTCTCTTGTGACTATGTCCCTTTCCTCAGTTCCAGATAGGAACTGTTTCCACACTCTTTCCTAACCCAAAGAGGCCCTTATGCAACATAGATATTACATAGCTTGCACTAATAAAACAGAACTAAAAACAAAAAGTTTTYAATTGCTATATAAGCCACGACATAATTTATTTAGTACTGACACTAAGCAATACCTGAAATGTTAGTCTTAAATTTGATTCCCTATTCAACAGTAAGGAAGAGCAGAAAACGAAACACTTACAACCAGTCAGTTACAGAGCTGGGCAGTTATAGACAGCTTAATGTAAAGACTGACAAGATAATATGCATGTGCAGTATCTCTGCAGCTCTTAACCACGTTCAAAAATTAATGAAGAGGCAAATAAAAAAAATACTCCATGCCATTTAATAGAATGGTTTCCTTAGCACTCTGGTGGTTCATAAGCAACAAATTATTAATGCTATTAATCTGTGACAGCTTCACCTCCCAGGGAGTATTCAAGACATATCTGCTTGGTAATCCCAAGAGAACATAGGAAACCTTCATTATAATCTGAGAAGTCAACGTTTCACAGGTTCTCCTGGGAGGAGGAGGCACAACCCGGACTCAGGACTGCCGGGATGACCCAAGCGAGGGATCGTTTCTCTTCAGGAGACAAGGATGGCTTTCTTAACAAGGCAAATATTTTTGCCTGTTCATAAACCCACTATTCCCTAGCTGTGTTCATGAACTAAGCAGCGGACAGTCTCAGGTCAGAAGCTGAAGTACCTCTTTAATTTTGAGAGCAAATCTAGTTAGAGCCTAAGAGGTATTTTTATTACCAAACAAGATCAGCTACCAGACAGGAGACAACTAAGTCTGGAGGCAGATGGTGTAATACAGAAAAAGCACCACCACTTACTTAACACAGTCTTTACAACCTCTCAGTAGGCAATTCAGATGAATACATGGAGCAAACTTAGCACATGAAGTAAATAAAGTAGCTTCTGGTAGAGCAGTGCCTATCGCCTGCTCASAGAGGGACACGGCGAAGGCAGCAAGGAGAGGTGCCGAGCAGATAACAAGGACGTGCAACCCTTCCCCAGGCCTTTGGACCAGACCAGGGCATTCCTGTGCCTTCCAGGAGTGCAGTGAAGATCCTTTTATATGKCCGGTATTTTTACTTTCACAGCAGGAACAGAAAATTTCTGCCAGGAGGCTCCCAACACAGGAGCAGAGACCCAGGACAGTTCCTGGCAGGGGCCTATGGAGGCAGAGCCACCGCTGTCCCGGCCCAGCACTGCGGCTCCCCGCAGTGCTGCGGACACACACAGCGCCTCTCTGCAGTTTGGGGGATCGTTAAGCATCAGGAGAACCTCTGGGTCCAGAAAACATTTTCTTTTTCTACACTTTCTGGGCATGTGCTGAGATGAAAAAAGGTGCTGGAGTATCGGGGCGTCCATCTTCCCTCTCCTGGGAAGTCATCATCTCTTCCGGCCTGCTTGAACCCCCTGGAAAGMTGAGGGGGGCCCTGACATTTTAGAAGCCTCCTACATCCAAACACAATATATCCACCACTGTATATATTTACAGCAGCAAGTGATGGAATGAAAATTAAATTAAATTTACAAGCTAATTTCAATCAATTAATTTATCCTCCTAACTAGCAGCAAGATACATTGGCAGTATAGCCTCAATTTTTGCAATTACCCAAAGTGATTTGAAAGGTTTAAGCAAGTTGCTCAGAGCTACATATGGAGCAATTGTCAATCAGTATTAGAGCTCCGTAATATCCCAGCCCTGCTCTTTGAACAGACCCTTCTTCGCCCCAGTTCAAATCCAATGTAGCCACTGAAGTGTAAATTAAAAAGTGGTGAATCACAAAGCAGCATAGACCTTGAATTCACTCATTCTGCACTCATTTTGGCTTAAAAGGGGCAAATCAAAACAAACCCAGTAGAAATTATATTCTCAAACAACAGATACTGGAATTATTCCCTYGGACACATCTCAGATGCTGGTAGCATGGATTAATGAAGTCTAAATGCAACCTTTGTGGGATATTCTCATTTAAAGACCAAACGTCCTCTACATGACACTTGCATTTTAACAGGTATAAATTGCAATCACATTTTAAAAGCAGATAAAGTTAAACGTACTGCTTTTTTTTTAAGAGTTTATTTCTGAAGAGTTAGAATCTGTTCTTAGCGCTTTACTGTGAAAGGGAGGAAAATACATCTCACATCTTTAAAAATTCTGCCATTTTTGAATGTGTTCCATAAATACTAGCAAAAAATAATAAAAAAAAAAAAAAAAGAGAGAAGCTCTTCCTTTTAAGTTATATTGAAGAAATAACAGCAGGATAATTGTTTTTTGCCCTAGAAGATGGACAGGAAGTTATTTTGAAATCCCTCATTATACCGAAGGAAAGTCATACTGTGTCTTGCTTTTGCGTGACAATATATTCCTTGCTATTTGGGAACACAATCTAAAAAGCTGCTGTGTGCCCTCAATTCCTAATGGCTCCAGTCAGATAATGTTAATATTCTTATTTATTTAAATTAAAAGAACTAAAAGAAAGGTATTGTCATTTGGGGTCATAATAATTGTCACCAAATTCAGATTTTCTTCTCCCAGCATTGGTTATAAAAACAACAGAAAACTTTCAATTATTTCTAGCTCTTTTTCTCTTTATTCAGGTAAAAGTGTTACCAGATTGTATTTTGCCCTGTACCTACTTTTTTGAAACTTTCTCAATCTCAAATACATTACATTACAGCTCCTGACAAGTCAGTTTCCTTCACTGCAACGTCTTAAAACAAGTTTCTAAAAATGCAGATGATGCAAAGAGCACTTATTACTTAAATAGACATGTGGATTGGCCTCCGTGCAAAATAAGCTGCTTCGGCACTTATGGGGAAGCGATGATAAGAAGAGTAGACTAAAAAGAATTTTAAAATATTTTAATATAAAAACATAAAATATGTTATACAAGTTTTTAAAATCCATAAATGAGAATTTAACAGTTTACATTTTGTGTGAAATACTCTTGCATACAGACAATAAAGATAACGTAAGAAATCTATCTGATTGATTTAAGAATTAGGTCATCTTTAGAATGAAGTAGTACTGGTTTCTTCTATCTACTTGTATCGAACTATTACCTTAAAAAATAACTTTGGAAAATAAATGTTTGTGCCTGTGCTGCAGGCACCAATGTACTGCATGTTTATCATTTAGATTTTTTATTTCTCTCATTTACCACAATCAAAGCTGTCGAGTTTCCATTCCACTTTATTCAGTGTTTTCATCTAGAAACAGTCCTTCTCAGCAAACATTACATTTCAAATAGCTGTGTCCATGTATACATGGCAAGAAAAGTCTTAAATCACCAGAGCAAGACGTGGATCTTGTCCAGAAAAAAAGACCTCAGTCAGYGATCCCATAATACCCTCATCCCTTAAACTTGTTTGACTTTTACTTTATTACATGCTTACCTGTGCTCCTTAAAGACCACTGAAGCACATAGTGCACACTAGAGCTTTTGGTCTCTGCAGAACAGCACCAAGTTCTGCATTTCAAAAGCAAAGGAAAGACCCTGGAGGCTTCCCAAGGAGATTACCAGGTGGAATACTTTGCCAGCACACAGGATTCATTGAGGCAATGCAGGAACGTGGGAGACTTTTGCCTGCCAGAACACCTCTGCTGTAGGAGGGACAGGCATCAGTAACACCCAACTCCTTGTACTAAGACATGTACTTATCTGCTTTCTTCTGGAGACATGAGATGTTACTCACAGTATCTAACCCTGCGGCTCTGGGTTTGACAGCTCCTGAGATTTTAAACCACCCTTACAGAAACTTACCTCTTGACAGTAATAATAAAGGGAACAACCATCTAAAGGAACCTGAAGTAGACAGCTGAAGCAAAAAGAAAAATGTTTCAGTACAGAGCAAAGAGAACTACCAAAAATCAGTCAGGCTAGAAGCTCTGCTACACAAAAGCACTGTGAAATACAACAGAAAGTTCTTACTCAAATGGCAGGGGCACAAGGAGGAGCCAACCACCTCCTACATYCTCAAAGGACCTTGAGTTCCCACCTGGGCACTGACAGCTAAATGGACACATGGACAATTACCTAAAGGAGAAGTGTTCTAGAAAAATATTACTACAGAATTTTTAGTTTTGGTTTTAAAAAAAAAAACAAAACAAGTCCAATGTTGATGGTCAAACACGATCTTTTCAAAATCCCTTTCATAAACAAATCTTACCTGATCAACTGTAAAGACCTTGATCCTTTCACTTCCCAGCCATTTCTGAAATTCTTTTTTCCAGTTTTTTACCAGACTCCCAGGGGTGACAATTAGTGCTCGCTTTACTATAGGTTTGCATCCATAGACTCCTTGACGTAGAAGGGTCCAGACAAGCGAAATGCACTGCAATGTTTTTCCTAAACCCATTTCATCAGCAAGAATAGCTCCAAATCTGCCACTAACTCTGTAAAAAACAATTAGGCTGCAGTAACATTTTAAAAAGCATTTTATTAGTTACAGTTGCTTTGAGGATCTTTTTTTTTTTTTGGCTCTCGAAGTACAAAGATCCTATTTACATTTATGTTTATATTTATTATTCTCTACTGTAGGTTTTCATTATTAGGTTATATCAAGTTATACCAGAAGTCCTCCCAGAAGCAGAGTGAAACTCCGTTTGTTCTCTAGATTAATGCACCAGTCTTCTAAAACCTAGTAGTTTTAATCTTCCTATTTATTTATTTATTTTTAATAATTAAAGATGTTAAAAACTACGTTATCTTTTTAATGCTTCTGCATACCTTGAAGTATTTATCATGTGAGAAAAGACTTCTGAAAACAGTACGGTATGTTTTCCAACAGTTTGTTTTATCAGCCTCTTCATTACAAATACCTAAACTACCAGAAAGCAGCAACTACCTTCACCATAGGTCAGACAATATCTGTCTTTATAATGCTTCATATTTTTAATAGATCTGACAGGCCTTTTGGTGTACTAGCTTTTCAACACACCTGGAAAGTCAAGAGGGCATGAAGACGAGAAAAATACGTGTAACCTTTACTGACTGAAACTTATTAGTATGAATTAATTGAATTTCTTTAAATTGCCAAATTTCTAGTGTGAGGATGAAAACATGTTTTGAAAGACTAAAAGATAATTATCTTACCTCATTCCCATTACACATTCATACAGAAATATAATTCCTTCTTTCTGATGTGGTCGGAGATTATTTACGATGTAGGGATCCACAACTACATCCACCAGAGGCAAACCAGCCTTATTGAACATCCACTGATGATTTGCATTTGGTCTTGGCATAACTAAAGAATCTTGAAGTTCAAAACACAGGCAAGTATTGTACAAATGATTTAGTTTTTACTCTATTAACAAAGAGTGTTATTTCTCTAACTATAAAATAAACACATAATTTAACAGCCACTAAAAATGCTGTTTAATATGTTGTTCATTCTTATACAAAAATTATATTTAATAACAGAGCACCTATATAGCTTTCTAAATAAAAAATCATTCACATATGCATCTGAAATGGTTTGCACTTTTCTCAAATGTAAAGGTGACAAGCTGGAAACATGAAACTGCCTACCTAATAAATGTTGCCCAGATACTCTGAAAGCAGCAGCTTTCATCAGAAGCAGCTCTGGAAGACTTCTTAAAGGAAAGTTTATGGTAAAGAAGGAAAATAAGGACCTAGCTAAAATCTTGACACTGTCTTTCAAATGGATATTTATATRGATACCCAGAAATGTATCTCTGCCCCAGAAAGAGGGATAGAAAGGCAAGGATTTGTGAGTGGGCTGGGAAAGGCTGCGTGAGTGCATGACAGGTTGGGAGACATATGGAGCCCATGAGAGCATAAAGGATTGGGATACAGGCTCTGGCTACACCTGGAAAACACTTCTGCTTGCCATAGTTTTTGCTATAGGTTTATGAACTCATGTAATGCCATTGTTTTGCTAGACCACATTGTCACTTGGTCACTTTAAAATGACATTGCACATCCTCGCTGAAAAGCTGAATTGTTAGAGGGCAGAATGGGCACCAGCTGCTGCTGTCTGTGCCACTGGAGTTCATCTGCATGGATATTTTGTTCGTGAGTGTAGTTTGGCTGAAGGCTTGTATCGTTGAGGGGTATTTTTCTATTTTTCTCTTAGTGACAAAGCGCTGAATTCTGCTGGATTACATCAAATTGCATGGATGAATATACAAAATGTAGTAATGTCAGAAAGACACCCTTCCTGACAAAATTGTTCATCAGTAGAAAGCAAGGCTTAAATGAGCTACGGGCAAAATGCTTGTAAACCATACATGGAAGATTTGGCTTTACATCTTGGTCCTGTGTGCCCTGCCCTGCTAAACAAGAGGACCTAAATGGCATTCTGCTCTGAAAAAGACTGTGTTTGRATCAACTAGTGACACAGACATCCACACAAACCTCTGAACGATCCAGYACTAGCTGGCTCTACTGAATTAACACAGTTCATGTTCAGCCAACTGTATCCCTAAGGCTTTGGTCTAGGAAAGTGTCTCAGCTAACTCCTAAAAGGGGTTAGGTAACAAAACTTTAAATAAACCACGGGATTCTTCTGTGTGAGTGACACTAATGCCTGAAGAGCCCAGCTCTTGATCCATCTAGGACTCTTCGTATCAGTTTTGGGACACCTCATGAGAAGTACTCAAATTCACCATCAGATAAACCACAGACGAAAAACAATTAGAATAAAGCCTAGCTTTTGAATAAAGCAACGTAAAAACAGAGCAGTTAATTTGGGTACTATTTTGGCTCTATTCCACATTTTAGGTTAGGATATTAATGCAGTATTTCTTGAAATCACAGGAAGGAGCACTGTTAGACACAATATAATCAAGCTGAATACAAATCAGAAGACTGCTAATAAGCCCAAAAGTGCAAACAATACCATTAGCTGCCACGTGATTAGGATCTCACTATTTATTTACACAGGAAGGGGATGACAGGAGTTCTACAGAGGGGCAGGCCAAGCAGCAGCTTTGAAAACTACTACGCTTTTCAGGATAGGAGGCAAGAAATAAAACAGGGCAAAACTGTAATGAAAATGTGCAACAAACTTAGATTCTTTTTTATTTTATGAGTAACACATTGCTGTAGCTAATAGCATTTCTTTAAACAGTTTTATCTTTCATCTGAAAGATAAAGCCTTCACCAGGACATGGTTTGTAATCGGCAGGCTGTGTGCCTGGCTTGTTATGGGCAGATAGATGAGCACTCCTTGCTTAGATAAGCACTGCCACTTCTTGTGACTATCAAATGTTTACAAGAWCCCTCTTATACAACTGCTTATCCAGCCTGTTTCCACGTAATTTGTGAACTCTCATGGCTCTTCAGCACAGGGCAGGTCTAGCATTACCAAAACAAAAATAAAAAATACAAAAAATGAGAAAAAATGTTTTATTCCAAAACATATCTTGTTAAGTTTGGGCAGTTTAATTGCATTGATTGGTTGTGAAGGATCAGGCACTGGCAGGTGCAATTCTCTGAATCTGGCTTAACCTCTTTATTACTGATCCTCCGCCGTAATCACTGCGCTGCTTGTTCTGTCACTGCTTCACTGGCCCCCACGGGCAGCTGCAACTCGTGCAGGACATCTAGCTTGTGTCAAACCCCTTCTCTGTTCAATATTCTCACTTTCCTTGGCAAAAAGACTCTAATTCATTTTAACTCGCATTAACTATGAGGAAATTTGTTTTCTGCAGAGCACTTATTTTTACACTTATTAAAAGCACACGTGATAAAATCCTAACATGTTGTTAATGAAAACATCACTATTGCATCTGAGAAATACTTCAGTAATGCATTGCAGAATGCAGAAATTCTGCTTACAAGCTCAAGTTTTTTTTCTTATGGGACAGAGTATGCTTAAATAAACTTAAAAACCTAAATCTTACTTGAGGCATTTGGATCATGGCGAGGTTTGCAGCTTTGAGAATCTTTGAGCATATTCTCTTTAGTACTGGGCTGACAGAGGCTTTTGAATGGATTACAGAATGGTTTTGTGGTAGCTTGGCATAAAGCAGTGGGAACTGTGTTCTGAGTCTGTATTGCAGTCTGAAAACACCTGCCACTGTTGAAGTCTTCTGCTGAAATTACACCCAGCACTTCAATTTCTTTTCCTCCAATCCTCAGTGTCTGACCTTCATCAAGATCCTCCAGCTCTTTWGATTTATATCCAGTACCTAAAAGAATATAAAAATCTAGTAATTAGAACAACAYAGCAAACTACTTCCTTAACATCAATACTCGTCTTCAAGAAGATAAAATAAAACTACCAAAATGTACTGGACTGTTAAGCAATTGAATTTTTACACATTTGAATTCATAAACCCTTTCTCTACTTGCCAGAGCTTGATTTTTCAGTGAAAATAATCTGGATTATAAGAGATACAAGGCTATGTGAACAAACTTTCTATCATCCATCCATCCATCCATCCATCCATCCATCCATCCATCCATCCATCGACTAGTTCCACTGAATATCAAGTATTTGTTTCAGAGAATTTCAGGAAAAAAAAGTCACAGCACCAAATCATAAAAATAAACCTTAGTTTTAAACTTATTCAAAACAATTGGCTGTTCTGGGTTCATTTTTCTTCCTTTCATACCCAAACACCACTAGCCCTGCTTGTTATTGATTTGGATGGAATGAACAATTGAAAAATCGTTGTAAATTAGCTGTTTAAAATTAAGGTTTCTTAAACTTCTAAAAGCTTTACTTGCACACATGCCCTAAAGCATACAGACCTTGTTTTTTTGACTGGGTTTATCAACCCAATACTTCGTTCATTCTGAAACCGCTCAGGAAGCAGAACTRGGACATTCTCTCATGTCCCCTTAAGGACTTGGTCAGGTGGACGTTCTCAGAGCACCTAACACACACTGTTAGTCTCCTTACAAAATACAGCAGCAGCTGCCAACTTCTTTTAAGACAAAGATGAAGGAAAGAGTGGTGGTTCCTTCTTTAAATAGCATTCTAGGAGTTTAAGCTCTCACTTAAAAATGGAAGGCTGATATATAGTTTCTTCTCCTAACTCGGGGAGTTCAAAGCCACATCTCTACCTTGAAATTAGGAGCAGGCATAGTTTTTATCCCAGCTGTCAAATTTGTACAACATAGGCTCGAATCTTTAGTTGAGCCCAAAAAAAATAGAGAGCTTTACTCTGCAGAGTAGCAGGTAAAACACTGGCCGGTGAGGGAAGCCAAGTTCTCCAAGGTTATCCACATTTAATGCAACAAGAATCACATACAAGGGTCCTGGGAACTCCTAGTGGGGCCATGGGATTTGGAGACACTAGGCACTAGTGTCTTTCCCCAAAAGGTTGGGAGATGAAGATCTGGGTTTGAATCCCTCTAAGGGGAAGAAATTAGCTGAGGTGTCTAAACAAATGTTGAAACCCAGTCCAGCCCAAAAGGACAAGGAGGTGTTTTTATATTCCAGAGAATAAAGAAAAAAGAGAACATTTGCTTTCAGGAAAGAGCGAGACGCTGCAATGTAAGTGAAGGCAAGTGCCTTCGTAAATGAGGTGCCTGAGGAGGGGATTTCAGACTTACCCTTATTCACCATTTTTTTCTAGTACTACCTCTGCCCAGCTGCACGCGGGGCATGCCGAGCTACAAGAAATAATTATTTCTATAACACAGAGCAAATCAGGGAAAAAAAAAAGGAATTCTGAATATTTTTATAATATATTATTGAGGATTTAGGRCATCTGCAGGGAAGAGGAGTAAAAAGTTCTGCTGCGTCCCTTCTTCAAAAACAAGCTAAAGCTGGTGCTGTCTTTACATTTTCATACCCTTTCTAGATCCAACCCTAAAATGCCTGAGTAAAAAAAATAATTTACTTAAACTTTTTATTTTAAAATAATCACCCTGATGCTAACTTACTCTTCATAAACTTTTTAGTGGTAAATACACTTCTGGAGGTAAGCACCACTGCACAACATAATCCTTTTCCTTCCTACTCAGTGGGCGTGTTGGATAATTGCATAAATTTAAAATCTACAACTTCTTAACTTGGTCAGTTTATGAATTCTTAGAATCAATGAGCTATGTGGCATCAGGGCAATGAAAACAACTCTGAAGGGGGAGGTTGCACTAATGACATTGACATCATTGTGCTCCCTGACACCATCAAACAAACAGATTTTTACCAGGAAAAAAAAAACAAAAAAAAACCCTAGAAAATTCATTTTCCCATTATATTTTCTCCTAATTCAAGAGGACAGGTCTTAAAAAAAAAATATGTATATATATATATATATATATATATATACACACAAAAAAAACAGGGTAGTGGCTGATGCATTCCAAGCATTACTCTCCTTCTCTCTTGCTTCAAAAACAAGCAAGCCAGTACATATATTGCTTTGCTGTAAATGAATTCAAATTAGCTTCTAAATCAGAAACTGATTTCCAAATTAAAACTGCCTGGTCCTAACCAGGCTCACAGGCATTGTAACAGAGCAGCAGAGAAACCACCTCCTAAAATTAATCAAATTGTGTTTTGTAGCAACATTGTTCAATCACACTCCCCTCGTAAATATCTCTGCCTCAGTTAGCAAATTTAATTCTTGCTTTGCTTTCAACAAAAAAATTACAGCTTCTGAGCTGACTGCAGCCTATAGCTGGCTAGGCTTATTTTTAACTCTGATATCAACCCAAACTGTGTCTTACAGCAGCAGCTGCTGCTAAAACTGCAAGACTAAAAATTGCCACACAGTTGACTTTGGCTCGGCTGGAAAACGTCACTGTTGCTTGTCTTTCCAACAAAGACAGTATTTTTAGCCGTGTGACTAGCTGAGAAGCACAGATCCAGCCTCAGACATTCCCAATGATTATCCTACTGGCTGGAACCTCGAGAAGCAACTCACCTGGGCGCCTTCCCCTCACCCTGACGCCCTGCTAGACAGGACTCAGGAGACAGCTCCCAGCTTCTCGGCCCCCTTTGGCAGCTCTGGGGAATCGGTGGGGCTGGCGCGGGCAGCATGTGGGTTTCTGTGAGCAGTGTTACTCAGCCTGCCCCAGCCTCCCCACGCACCTGCCTCGTGTGGAAGAAGGGGAAAGTATTTTTCCTTTTTTTGCCAAAAAGAAAATCTATCTTTTTTTCMATCTGGTCGACAGCCTAGCGTTGGGAACTCTAAGATATCAAAAGATCTGTGTTTCTTACGTTCAAAGCAGATGATTTTTAAGCCAGCTCTTCGCTTACACATACATGTAAATACACAGTACCTTTTCCAATGTCTTTGCCTTCCATATCTTTGAGTATGACAGACTTCCCTTTTGTAATAAGGACAGCGTCGCCTTCCCACTTCTTGTGCTTCTTGTTTGATGCCTTACACCACACCACACTGAAGTACTTGGTAAGGCAGCCGGGTTCTTCCTGAGCCCCTGCTTCTCCTGCCATTCCTGATGCCGGCAAGGACAGTGCATCTAAAAGGGAAATAACATGCAACACAACATCAAAAGTTCTCCTGGTGAAGCATACAGTTGTTTTCTTTCCAAACAAATCAAGGGCAATCTGTGCATTTCATCTTGTACAAACACAGCGTTATTTCCTGTCCTGGGACGCTTATGTTAAATTTGGAGCAGGACAGAACAGCGCACAGGGCCTCAACATGAAATAAGAACTGATCTTACGGGACTGTTTTTGGAAAGGCTGAGCTTTCAGGAATAGGACATCATGGGTGCATTAACAAGAGGGATCCTGATTTGGCATCAATGATGGTGAGAGTGGAAAAAGAACCAAAGGAAAGGCTGGAGGAAACAGAAGGGGAATGAGCTAGGAGAAAACACGGTCCTGATGGGCCACTGCCCTGCCTTGGAAGCAAGGACAGAAACACAGAACTCAAGAAAGACAGTAAAGGAGGCCAGTCACCACATCTGGAGTTTATTACACCAGGCTGGAGAATCACTAGGATCATAACACWGTGAAAAATTACCGCAACTGCTCTTTAATATGCTGTTCAAAATGAATAATTACGCAAATCTTGAAACAGAGCATCTCCTGGGCTTGCAGCATCTCCAATGCTGCTACTAAGCCTATTTTAATTTACATTTGTCAGCAGTTAACTGCTGACATGATAATTATAATTAAAAATTATAAGTATCATGGATGTAAATATTAGTCGGAAATACTTACGTTAATAAGGTTAAGAAACCATAATAGAACAAATAACAGTTCCTTTTAACATGGATTAAGAATAAACACATGCTTTCAAGAGTTAGCAATCTGACATGAGTCAAGTAATGGTAGGTAAGTCCTCAGTATTATCTAAATGACTATCTGTAGCATTCCTTTGCAGCACATGCACAACTTCAAAGAGAGAATCAGACTAATTTTCATTAAAATACCCTTGCAAGCTGGTTAAAGGCTTAAATCGCTTTGCTCCTTTGATTCCATCTGGGATTCAAGACTATATAAATCTGATAAAAAAAAAGAAAAAATGCTTATGCCCAAGACTAACTTTCCCAAACTTTTCAACTATGCTGGTATTTAAAGAAGCAGCAGCGAGAGTTAAATTTTGCTCATAGTAATGGTCTAACAAAGCAGGCAGCCCAATAACCTGCATCAAGCCCACATTTTCTTGAAACTGCAAAACACTTGTATTTAAGTTATATGCCTAAAATCAGAGTAATTGTTCAGACTAGCTTTTATTTTATTAGCAAAAGTACTAAATATATGCAAAGTGATGTATTTACGGAAACGGATTTTCTTCCCCAAGTTCCCTACCAGTTTTATTGTGTGCACAGAACCTAGCATAGACCCTAAGCATAGGATTTTCCACAGCTGGATCTCTTTTCAGGGCATTAGCCCTGTACCCTGTTGAGTTTTTCATGCACCACACATGACTCCATCTCCAAGCTACTGAAGACACCATGATCAGAGAAGAGAACAGACTCTCTCTTTCTGAAAAGTAGAGAATTGTATTTAGATGAAACCTGAGAAATGTGCCAGGGAGGAAGTATAAATCCTTGCAGTTTTGCAAAAAGGTGCAATGGAACTATTGGATCTTCAGTAACACCATTAATAAGATTTGGAGGCTGAAGGAGAGTGGAGGAGAAGTAGAAAATGCTTACACTGCTACAAATACAAAAAACTAAATTTGAGCTCTATTTTGAGCTTCAATACATAAACTAGATCAACAGAATAAGAGCTTACTTTGTCTTTGGTCTTGGAATTAATTCTTATCTTTTAATTGGCAACTTCTACTTGTTTCCTTCTTTTTGGAGTTTAAATAACTGTTACTGCAAAGAAACAGAGATTTCACTGCAGAACCTTCTTCTCTCGTGAAGGATGGTCCCCTGTCAATGAGTGGCCACGTCCTCATCTCCTCCATGGGCCCCCATGTGAGTTTGGTGACCCCTGAGGTCTAGTTTACGGTCACTGCTCCTTTACCCGGGGAATCCTGCTTGGTGTTATCTCAATTACCAATAGATTCATTTTAAGATCAGTAACAATTCTTCAAATTCTTCTTTTCCCTTTTAAAACGATAAGAAAAAATAACACAATTGTATAGACACAGTGCTGGAAATGACAAGCAGTTTAAAAGAGTGGTTTGAGGGGAGAAGCATCTAAAGCAATCAACCCCCAGGGAGAAGAAAACTGGGCACATATTACATATAAGATTACCATGGCTCTAAAGGAAAACTGAAACCCACCAGACTCTGCAATACTCATTATTTTTTCCCTCAGTTTGTCCTCTGAACTATTGTAATTTCTATTTCTATAACCTGTTCAACTTTGAGGATGCATTGCAGTGCAATAGCAAAATACCCAAGTGTTGAACACAGTGTGAGGAACCTTCCCTGAGTTGAAATGAGACTGGTATGCTGAGTGTAGCAGAGTTTGATACGGGAACACCGAGAGCAACGGTCAGCCAGTAAAACTGTTTCTGCCCATTGCCATTAGACAGTATCCAAACAGAGATTCTTTTGCCAAGATCCTCGAAGATAAACTGCAATTGTAAATTCTGAGCTCTGCTGTTTCAGTTCAAATTGCTCTCAGTTTGGACTGAAAATAAAAAGGAATGGCAACTTCTGTATGAAGGAAAAGATCAGGAGATCATGCCCRCTCATTTCTCTCCCAGCTAGCCAACCGCCCAGCGTGGAAGGGCAGTTTCCTTAACTGTGAAGAAAATGATGTTGTCTTTTTTACAGCACGAGCAGCTTGGAAATCTTGAAAATAGCAGTAAAAAGGCTTGGGAAAACTTGCACAAATAGAAACGTACCCAGCTGAGAAAGCAAAGGCTTAAGTTTCAAGACACAAACCATGGCTTACTTGATACGAGGAAATGTTTCAGCAGCCCTCAGGAAGGTGATGATTTACAGAAAGTGGGACCGGCTCCAGGAAAAGGGAAGGGGGGAGTGTTCCAATGGCAAACTAGTTTAACCAGTTTYTGATGAACAGGACATAGAGAAAATGTATTGATTAAATGCATTAGGTTACTCCCAACGCAGTTAGAAATCAAAGCCTGCTTTTGGAGGCTGCAAAAGGCAAGAGAAACATGCGTTTTGAGGGGACAGCGCAGGGGAGCCGGCGGCGCTGCAACCCCATGGAGCACAACTCACTCCTGTGAGCGGGACACCAGACATCACAGCCTGGGATGGGGTTTAATCACCATCCTGCCAGGCGCCGGGCCTCCCCTTCTCCCCTCTCCCGCTCCGCTTCCATCCCCGGCCTTGGTGACTCAACAGTCTGGACAACAGGAGCCCGCGCTCTGATCCCCCACGAGCYGCCAGAGCCAGTGCAAGAGGAGGAAACGCGCGGAGACGGTCCCCTCATAGGGGCAGCTGTCACTTGGAAAGCGCCGGGTCTGACAGATGATTTAATCACTCTTATGCCTGCAGTTTCATGTTGTAAGGGTGTATCAAATGATTGAGATTCTTCTCTGAATTGGTTTAAGTCTTTTAAGCAGCAGTAATTGTCAAAATGSGAATTTCACAGTTTAAGAAAACAACTGCCTCCAACTGTACACTATCTTACTAAAGTTTTTTTTTTAATAAAAATAATAAAACAGATAAAAAAAGAGAGTTGGATAGAGCCAGAAGTCTGGACTTGTACAAAGGAAATCCCAACTCCAAATGAATCACAGCCGAAACTCGAGCGCAGAGCCCTGCTCTGCCCGAGCCTCTGCAGCCACTTGCACATACCTGCTATGGGCTCCCCCAAGCCAAGGGCACTTTTGTCTTCCAGGCAGCAGAACCATTTTATGGAGGTTCATTTTTGATGTAATCAAAAAGTTCCTTAATCAAATTCATTCTTAACATTTAGAGAACAAATGTTTACCCAGTAGTTAMATACCCTGCTCTGCACACAATGTCTGAATGTGAAAAACCTCCAAGAATATTCCCTAGGAATATTTAAAGATAGGTGATAAAGAGATAGCATTGTCCACTTGCAAGGCAATTTTAACATAATGATAAATGTAATTCTAAGCTAACATGTAGATGCTCATTATTGTGTGGTAAAGATGCAAAAATAGGTAATAACTGTTTGCAGGACACTTCTACAAGAGGTTTTATGGGCAGCACAAGCAGAAAGCATTGCGCTGATTTGCTCTAAAACCACAGGAATCAGTGACAGCTGGGATAACATCTCAGATTTCCTTRATTACAATCCAGAGTTTATACTTCTTTTCCCCATAAAAAGCATAAGATGTAGCTCGTCTTGCCCAAATCAGCATCACAGCCGAGATGAAACCATCAGCTGTCATCTGGGGAGGCCCACGGTCCTGCCCGTGTTTAAGCTTGACCTGCAGAGACGCAGAGTCCTGACAGGGAAGGGCCCAACTTCAAAAGCCGCCTGCTGAGGTCCCCCCTACGTCCCTGGTTTAATGTCTTTCACAAACAAAAGCAAGCAAAATACTTCCCATTTCGCACTTGCTGCTGAAAGAGCTTGATGAACATGAGGGTTAGCAATCTCACCTAAGGACTGCTGTTTCAAAAAGTCATTTTTTCCTTCAAAAAAACAGACCACAGCTTGACATCCAGAACTGTTTTGAACAGATAAAACGGCGAGATAAGCATTTGGAACATCTGCGTTGAAGTCACTTTCCCCAGCCTAGATGCTGGTTTGGGATGAAGCCATGCGAATTGCTGTGGGGATTTCCACTAACACATCTTACTTGACAGAGCTGAGAACATTGCCAGACTGCTGCCAGGCCGGCCGAGTCTTCCATGGCAGGTGTCTCCGAACACACGCACAACGTTCAGAGAAACTGGCAAAACAGGAGTCACTGTTTGTGAGAACAAAAGTCACCGATATAGTTTTAATCACAGTAAACTATCATTCATTGTAGAACCTCTAGCAACTCAAACCCTGGGGAAGAATCTAGAAATCTAGGGAGAAGGTAGCACTTTTTTTTTCTTTTGGCCGGGGTAAACCTTTTTCCATTCCTGAAAGCTAAAAGCTTTTGGAAATAAACGCARTT